CAACTTACTCCAAAAGTTTGCTAATGTGCAAAGCCTGAGAGCTTACAAAGCACATCAGCACAACTCAGATAAATCTAGCACAGATGCTCCACGATTTATGACGCGGGGTTATGTCCCAACAAACCCATAGTAAATGGAAAATACCATAAGTTGAAAATGCATTTAATATACCTAACCTACTGAACATCATACCTTAGCCTGGCCTACCTTCAACGTGCGCAGAACACTTCTCTTAGCCTACAGTGGGGCAAAATCACCTAGCACAAACCCTGTTTTATAATAAAGTGTTGAATATTTCATATAATTTATTGAAGACTGTACTGAAAGTGAAAAACAGAATCATTGTGTGAGAACTTGAAGTACAGTTTCTACTGCATGCATATCAATTTCACACCATTGTAAGGCTGAAAAATTGTAAGTTGGGGAGTGTCTGTATGTCTTTTATTTCTAGCAAAGACTTAGGCATAAAGACTTCTAATCACTCTTGGGGAAATTATTTATTAATCCTAGAAACTTTGTTGATAGGCTAATTATTTGGAAAGTAACCTCTTTCAAAAGATTTGAAGTATCACACACACACACAAAATGTTGAAGTCATCTGTTCTCAGTACTCACCAATAAGCACAGTGTACCATAAAATCACTTTCAGTTCTGGGCCTGAGATTGGAGGTCTTATTGCCTGGAATCACCAGATCTTCATCTCTCATGAATTCCACAAAACAATTAATCAATAATTGATGACCTACTAGTTGCCAGGTGCTGAGAGAATAGAGATGAACAAGACAAAAGTCTTGTCTTTAAATAGTTGCCAGCTAAGAACTCCAGGGCCTGTCCAAATGTTATTTAATTCAATTGTTTCTATATCCCTAGAAGGTGGGTATAATTATGCCCATTTTACAGGTTAGAAAGCAGAGTTCAGACCAGTTAAGTGACTTGCCCAAGGACACACACTTGGCAAAGGGTGGAGCCAGGGGTAGAAAAGAAGGTCTCCAAAGTTCATGCTCTTCAGCACTACCTGGTGGGGATTGGGGGAGATGGTGAAGAAACCACAGAGTGGAACCAACACTGACTGGAGGAAGTCACCTGACAGTTCACATGGGAAAGGAAGCCAGGCGGAAAGCAAGAAAGCTGCCCACCCAGGGGACCCCGGACTTTCCCAACGTCGGCACTGAGTGTTCCTTTCTCACCAAAGGTCCCCTGCAAGCAGTTTCACAGCAAATGTTTTATACCAGATATAGCATATTATTGCTCCAGAATCCATCCAGGCCAATAACTACACCAGGTAATACCTATATAAGAAATTATATGCTAGACCCCTCAGACACAGTATTCACTTCCTACAGCTGCAGTACACAGTACAACAAACTGCTGAACAGGACAAAGTTCCAGCCCTCATGGGGTCAACAAATCAATCAGACCTACCCTAACACTTCAAGAGAGAAACAAATAGAAGACATGAACAAAAACAGAAAATGCAAATGGCCAATAAAGATATAAAAGAATTTGGTAATCAAAATGCAAATTAAAACAAGATTTCTTTTTTTTGTCTACCAAACTGGCAGAATTTTCAAATGTTGTTGTGTTGACAAGGATGCAGAATATAGACCTGCTTGTTGTTTTTTTTTTTCTCTGGGAGTGGGTTTCAACCAGCTTTCTTAAGGGTAAAGCCCAGACTGCTCCCAAATCTAGCCTAAGCACATTTAAAATGCTAAAATACATATTCCTGGGCTCCACATGGAAGAGATTCTGAATCATCAACCAGAAATGTAATCCAAGAAACTGCATCATTTAACTACCACAGGGTATTCTAATGCAGGTTTTCCTAGAACCATACTTGGACACAGAGTGCCCTAGACCATGGGTAGGACTATGCCTTCAAGGTAGGGGCAAATGGTCCTATCTATGGCACTATGCATGGCCTGATTATCGAATGCAGACTGCTTTCTTCAATTAGATTTGATGACTTGATAGAAATATTTCAGCTATAAGACAAAAAAGTATCAAGTTATACTCGCTACTGGTGGACCGAATGCTGGGTCACACACAGTTCAGCTTTTATAATATTTATTCTCGTTGGCCCAGCAATTCAACTTAAAAAAAAAATTTATCCTAGGGACATAATCAGGTTTTATTCAAAACACTGGTAGGATTGCTGAAATTACTTAAGAGTTCTGAATAAATAAGAAGAGGCTGAAGCCACTCTTAATAACTTTTCCTTAAAACGCTGGCTATGGGTAAAGAACATGAAAGGAAAGAGCACTCCACTTTGTGTCCCACTTATTCAGACTTTGTTTTGCAAATGTTTTCTGGTTACCAAGGCAACTTCTGGATTCCTCTGTGTAAATGGGAAATTGGGAACTTCGTTTTTTTAAAAAATGATTCGTTTGTTCTTTTTATCCTGGTAAGCTCGTTCTGTGCTGACAAATTGCATTCTGACAGTTAGGTTGTAATCCAAAACATGCTTTTTTAGAAGACTGTGAATAATAAGGAATTTCTAGGGGTTGACAGTTACTCTTCATTTATATTTTTATGTATTTGCTTTCATTGCATTCAAGGTATAAACTAAGGTGCTAAATATTGGGTATAATATTAAAATAATTTAGAAATATATAACATGTCTACAACAATGGCAAGACTTTTACTAAGCAGGCTCTCATTATAACATGGTAATTATTATTACTAAAGAAAAGATAAAAGCAAGTACAGAAGCAACCAAAACCTATTAGACTTGGTTTTTTAAAGAAATCAGTGCATTTAAAGAAATGCACAACCCCCATTATTAGGATTGGACTTCTTCAGGTTTCAGCTATTTATAATATTAAACACTCATCAGTAAGTAATAGGAAAAGACCTGGAATTCTGGCTGGGTGCGGTGGTTCACACCTGTAATTCCAGCATTTGGGAGGCTGAGGTGGGCAGACCACTTGAGGCCAGGAGTTCTAGAACAGCCTGGCTAACATGGTGAAACACTGTCTCTACCAAAAATACAAAATAACTAGCCAGGTGTGGTGGCACATGACTGTAGTCCCAGCTACTTGGGAGGCTGAGGCACAAGAATGGCTTGAACCTGGAAGGCAGAGGCTTCAGTGAGCCATCACACCACAGCACTCCAGCTTAGGCAACAGAGCGAGACTCTGTCTCAAAAAATAAAAAATTAAAAGAAATTAAAAAAAAAAGACTTGGAATTTTGTAAGGTGGTAAGACAGGTAAGTTTCACAAAGGAAGTTCCTTAAAATTTTACAAAACCACAGCCCAAAGCCATGTAGTTAGCTAAAGTTCATGTATAACTTTGAAAGAGCAAATGGCCAAGCTTTTAAGCTACTGGAGGTCATGGTGGAACAGGTTAAGGGCCTTTCCATAACCCACTGAAGGTGAGGGAAAGTAATCGGCAAGGATGAGGCCTGTATTTCTCTAGGGATGGATCACCTCTGAAAGAAAGTCAGTTAGCACTGAGGCAGCAACAGGCTCCTCTACTTGTTTTCCTTATGGCAGTTTACGAATCTATTTTTTCTCTTTTTCAGAAGCATTGGTGGACAGGACCCATTTCTATTCTGTATCTCCTGGTTTGCTGTTTATTAAACTATATATGGAGGAAAAGGATTTAGTGGAGCATGCTAAATCCTTTGTCATCATATGCCCTAATTCTTACTCAACCTTTATTCCTTAATCTTCGATTATTATGACAAATAAGAGCATCACAAATGATCAAATGGGCAAAATATTAGAGTACTGAGCACAAATACAAATTTGTAAAGCAAAACAAAATATTCTGAAATTTAAAACTATGTGAATGTTGTTTCAGATAAAAATAACAATTTAAGCATCCTTAAATCCATATATATGGCACATAAACTCAACCTTTATAAGTTAGCTAGTCTATTGAAAAGTATTGATGCAAAACTGGTAAACAACTGTGACAAAAACAAAAACTAAGGGTCCAAAATAATAAGATATCAATGCCATGCTTTCACTGTCTGAATTTGGTTTGTATTGGTCTATCTTGCATCTAAGGTGGGGTATTCCAGAGGGCAGACATGGGGCTGATGGAGCTTTTTCTTGGACTACTTATCCTTTTAGCTTACTATCCCTACCTAATACTTGTGATCAGAGACAAGGTAAAATATAGAACTCTGGAAGGGTGGTTTAAAAAGAAAATGCCCGTGAAAACAGTAAGCTGTCATTTGGGGAACTGTTCCCACACCGCTACCACCACCACCATCCCATTCCCTTCACCACAGTGTAGCTGGATGAGAGCTTCATAACCCTCCATCTGCAATCAGAAACCAGTTACAATTTGGGCCCCTGACCAAGCTGGGTCAATCCTAGCTCCTGCATAGAATTCTCAGGTAAAACAGGAACTCAGTTAAATTTGAATGTCAGATTAACAATCAATAATTTTTAATATAAGTATGTTCCAAATGTTGCACTGAGATATATACACTATGGTGGTGTTCCCAGATACGCCAACAATAGCTGCAAATGCATAGAGCGCTCCCTATGTTCAACGCATTGTTCTATGTACTTTATACATATTAACCCACTAACTAAATGAAAATATATGGATATGTAAATACATGCTAACATATGGATGATTTCAGGTTAGGAAAATGGACTATTTTTAAATTTTAGAAAATACGCAAAACTTCCTATAACTAGGACATGTAATAAGTTGTCATTAATGTACAAACCAATTTGTATAAAACTTAGAAATATAAAAATAAAAACTAAAAGGTAGATACACTGAAGTAGAAAAAGCAGTGGACTGAGAATATAGGGGTCTAGATTTCTGTTCCTGCTCATTAGCTAGCTGGGTGACCTTGGGAAAGTCTCCTCACTTCTCTAGATCTGGGCTTCTTTATCTGCATGTGAGGTTTGGACGAAATTATTTTTAAGGTCATTGTTGCCCCTAAACGTCTATTATAGCCTTTTTTTTCCACCTTGGCTTCAGATACTATATCCTACAATGTTGAAAAAACAGCTTGCAGAGAGAAGTTTATTACCTCTGCAATCATTCGGTTGGTGTCTCCTAAAAAAAGCAAATTCAGAGCTTCTTCCTCTGTGGTTGCCTGATGGAGAGTCAAGTTTTTCAGGTGAATGTTCTGATCAGGGTCCTCCAGTATTGTCACTTTCCTAGGCAAATGGGAAGCAAGAAAACAAGATACTGCTGAGAATGAAAAGAACCTCAAGTCTTCCCTACAGGCTTTTAAAAAGCTGTATAGTATGACGTCTTGAACTTATAAAACCAAATAACACACAAGATACCAGACAGCACTGGATTAGAATCAAACACTGACATTCCCTTGACAGTACTATCAAATAGCTTTGAGACTGAAAAATATATTACAAGCTCCTGATTTAAAGCCACCTGTCATTGTAATAATCAGATCGCTAAATCATCTTAGAATGCATATTCTTATTGAATTAAAAATACAAACATATAATAATTTTCTACCTACGTATCAGGAAACTAGGCCATATTTTTTTCTGTATCATGATTCAGTTTCTTACATAGGCAATGAACTCATTCCTTTGTTCAATTTCATATCACTTTCAATTTACATGACATTTCAAACTGGTTCACTTACCAACTTAAACATGATGAAAATTGAGGCATCTGTCATCCTTCTAGGAGTTATTCCCTTATCAAGTTTTCTCATCAAGGTGAATAAAAAGTTTTCAAGAAGTCTTATAATAAATATTTAGCTTGCCATTATTATTTTAATGCCTGTCAAATCCGTTTCTTGATCCTTTTTCATTTACAACATACCTTTTCCTTCCATTACATCCTTTTAGTCGGAGCCTTAGATCTGGAATTACATTCATCTATTACAACTACCTTAATGGGCATCCTGATGCCAAGACCGTTTCCTCCCAGGTGAATCCTAACCCTGTTTCCAGAGTTGGCTTGTCAATACTCTCCCTAAAGTCCTTTCAGGACTTTCTGCAATGGAACAAAATTTGGCTCAACTCCTCATTCTCTGCTTTACAGGCCTACAGATTTGAGCCATAAAGTTACTAAAGAGAGTTCCTTTCTACCTCTTAAATTTTGCCATCTTGATTTTCTTAAGAATTGTTAAGGAAAGGAAATATTATTATTCACAAGTATTGCCAAAGAGTATCTCAGGTATCTTCACTTGTTGAAAACATTTGGAATTGATGACACGAGGTAAATGTTGGCACCATCCAGCACTACTTTTCCTTTAAAAGAAAAACTAGCAGATGGACATATGTAATTTTCTTTTTTATAAAAACTTATTTAGAATATCTTTAAAATCAAGATTTTGCAAGTATCATAATTTTTTTCATCTTTCCCTTTTGTAAGAAAGTTATCTGGACTTTCATATGTAATTTGTGGGCACTTAAAATCCTAATGGCAGGAAGAAAATGTAGCTCTACCAGCACATCTGTGACCAATATGTCACTAATAATGTCCTCCTTTGCCAAGTTTTAGACTCCTTTTTGTTTCCTTCAACAATACCAGCAAAAATGGAAAAAGATATTTTCTCTTAATGAAAACAAGTGTAATTTATTTATTTTTCAACAAGACTCTTAAGTGAGCTTATTAAAAATGCTTGGAAAAGAGAAAGGCATTTGAATTGAATTGAAATGGATGAGTTGTATTCTATTTTTAAAAACTCCCTTTATTCCTTAAACTTTATTTCCACCCTGATTTTTCTGAAGTGCTCAAGAAGATTTGGCTAAATTAAATCCCTAGAGACACAGAAGTAATGATTCTTCCTAAACCGACAGATTCTGGGACTTATATAGGTGAAAGAAGTTAAGGAATATTGGAAGATAAAGTAACAAAATAAATAATGAGATGGTATATTAAAAGTGAGAAAAGGGCTAGGTGCAGTGGCCCAAGCTTGTAATCCCAGCACTTTGGACACTGAGGTGGGAGGATGGCTTGAGTCCAGGAATTCAAGGCTGCAGTGAACTATGATTGTACCACTGCCCTCCAGTCTGGGAGACAGAGCGAGGCCTTGCTTAAAAAAAAAAGAAAAAGAAAAAAAGAAAAGATGAGAGTTCTGCCTTTGTCATCATGAAGTCAAAAATGAATTCTCTAACTCTGAGGCAAAGTCACCTGTGATACACTTTGAAAGACCAAGACAGATACAATACTATTCTTGTGCAAGTTTGGAAAAGGGAGAGATGGGGTAGCAGGAAACAATTCAAAGGTGGTGTATACACTCGTTAGGCACTAAATGTATGTCAGGCACTTGCCTTATTTCATTTAATCCAGGTGTTCCCAAAAGGAACTATCTGTGGATACACATACCCACCCCCACCCCACCCCCACTCTCTCCAGACCCCCATACACAGCACTGCTGCTTAGATCCCATCCTAAGAGATTCTGATTGGATTGGTCCAGGGTATGGTCTGGGTATTAGAATTTGTAAAAGTCCCAAGTGATTCTCGTGTACAGCCAAGGGTGAGAGCCACTGACTTCATCTTTAATATCCCTTCTAGTAGACACATGGAGAGGAGGTTTCTGATTTTTTATCTTTACTTTTCATCTAGTTCCACTTCATACTCAAAGGGTAAAATTACTAATTTTCTTGGTTGTATAATAGCTGAAGAAGCTGATGAATCACATCTACTAATAGGTAAGGTCACTGAAAATTTTAAAAGGACTGTCTTTCCAGGGGAAGTTTCTTTTCTACTTCCCTGACCACACAGCTGGTGGGTATACTAAGCCACACAACATTAACCACACAGTAACTAACGCTCAACTGGGAATTACGGGTCTCCCTAAACATCCAAGGGGTTTATATCATTACCGAATCAAAAAGTGTAAGTAATAGTAAGGACACCTAATACCTATATATCTCACCATTACTTCACTGAAACAGCAAATGCAGAGAACAAGCAAGTATGGAATTCTAACCATGCACATTTATTAGACAACTTTATTTGGGTCACTGATTTAGGATTATATTTACATAGAATAATTACATGCATAAGGTAAAAAGGGTTAAACGTGATCAGTGATATTTGGCTAAGCTACTTTTTTCTTCTAAATCACTCAGAGCCTTTGATCTCCAATGTAGCTACTTCAGAACTATTACACTTCCACATTTACTTCCAGGTGCTGGTCCAGATTTATCACAAAATACACTTTGTACATGCCCTTGGCGTTTCTTCGTAGAACTTTCGACTATCTTTTGTAACCCATCCCTATGCATTAATATAATGTGTTTCTCACTATTTTCTGATTTCTTGACCATGGAGGTTTTGAAAAGTAAATTAAAAGGCAGGTTAGAGTTTTCTTTCATGGGCTTCCCCCTGCTTAGGGCTCATTTGTGGGCACGCTATAAAAGAGTCCACTTCTGGCATCCTTCTGGAATCTTTGAAACACAACTTTCCCTCACCAATAAGGGTCTCTTCTTGCCAGTTTTCAGATTCTTTTCTGATTTCTGCCCAATCCCTTGGGCATGATGCTTTGGACTTTCCCATATTGCCCTGCCTGCCCCCATTGAAAATCCTTTTTGCACTAAGTCTTGCAGCCAGTGCGTCAGCCCCACCTACGTTCATGCCTTTGCTCACAGAAACCCAGCCTAAGCCATGCCCTGGGCACTACCTATTGCCTGGGAGAGGTAGTTGCAGAATGAGAGTGTTTTAAATTCTACTGCCAATGAAATGGTTTTTCAAAGTTGAAGGAAATAAGGACCATTACAAAAAGTTTCTCATCAAGTTCCTTCCTTTCCTGGCCCTTTCTTTCCCTCTGTCCCTCACAAATCAATAGCTATTTCCTGAATCCTTAGTCTACCACTTGGTTCTGACTATAATTTTCATGGGTTTGAAAGAGGGCTTTATTAGAGTTTCTTAAATAAACATTCTAATTCCAAGATGGAAACCCCCAAACTATTTATTTGATTTTTTTTTCAACAGGCCTGTGAACAGTTTTCCCTACAAAATGTTTCTATAATATTTAGATTTCAAGTGAAAAGTCACTGATAGCCTTAACTTGGATACCTAAGTGGAAAAGTTCTGCTAAGTGTACTCAGCCTGCTTAATGATGGGGAAGAAGAAAGCTTTGTGTTTTCTCTCTAAACAGAGAATCTTTTCCATTTGGCTAAGTAGTTGGAATTTGTAGGCACTTTTTAACTGACTGAAACACATATAAAGAGCAATGGGCAGGCTCTTGTTCTCAATAATGGAAGCTATCAGTGAAAGAATCCTCCCCACTCGACACCCTACCTCCACATTTCAGCACCACCAACTTGCTGAACAGGAACTTACTGGGCATTACTGCAATGAACATGGTTTCTAATGTTCATGTTATATATAAGTGTTGCCATGGTGATTTCTATTCTTTATCTACTTGCAAATGTCCCATATGATGGTATAGGTCATGTACTACACAATGGCGCCATGTCTGAGGGGGTGCTATTCACATCATGGGTGTGTATACTTATCATGATAAGTGTCTGTCATAAGGCAATGAAGAGCCTCCTAACAAAATCAGCATACTGCAACACTTTTCCAATAGATGGCAGGGGTGCCTTTTAATAAGTCACATAAAGGTGACTTGAGGTCATACAGACTAGAGGCCACTCTGTCTAGACACCGTGACCTCGAGCAATGTCAAGGGCAGGTGGGCCTCATGACAACGGGTGGGGGTGCACCAGGCTCTTCTAAATAACTAGATATGTTTCACATGTTGTAAACATAGTCCCAACACAAGTCACTTAAATAAAGAGAGCATTGTTTGTCAGTTCTCAATATCCTTTTTTTTTTTTCACCCCAACAGATTTTCTCAGAAGCTCTTTATGGTGAAAGTTTAGGGAAAAAGAGAGATGTAAAGTTTTAGGAAAACTATGTAAGGCGACCCTTCCTTTCTGCATTTAAACAATTTCAAAGGTAGATTTTGTTTCGACTGATTGCAACTTTCTAAAGAGTTTCCTCTTATAAAATGTAAATACTGGAAATATGTTTCTTGGGAAAGTTTCATGAACCTGCAACACATTTTTGTGTTGGTGTTGACCTAGACAAAATGGGCTACAAGCAATGGACATTTTCTCTAACCATTAGTGAGATATTTCGAAAGCCCTTGCTAGTAGCTTGAAAACCGTATGTTTTCTTTGTAGTTTTATCTAACATCATGTCTTTTCAGTGACAATGAAGAA